ACCTTTCTGAAGTGGATGGTTTCTCAAATACAATTTTTAAATAATTATTAGAAATATGCTGTGAATAAAATGTTGAAGGCCATAATGTTCATTAGAAAATACAACGTATTTTACAGCAAGCCATAAATTCTAACATAAGGAAATTAATGTTATTTCAGGCATATAATACTCTGTACTCAACAGAGTAATGCTGTTAGTGTTTTACTCATAACTCTTCTATTTGCTATGGTTATTTCACTCCCATTCTTCATCAGCTATCAAAAGCAAAATCCAAATGAGTACACGTCACCTTTTAGAATCAATGCAGCGAAGGCGTTCATCTGACAGTGCATTTCTCTACAATTTCAAGTTAAGATCAGCCTTTGAAACATAAATAAATCTTGTCTCCTGATCAAACCCTGTTTGCTGGATTATTGAGGCTTGCAGAAATCTATCTCTGAACAATTTATCTTCTATAACAAGGCAAAGGAATGTTTGTTGTGAATTTTATTTATTTTGTTTTGTTCTAACTGACAAAATGTGCAGCTTTTCAAACTCACTGCAAATCAATCAACACTGGTATCTTTGGTAAAAAATTTTAAAAGAAATTGGAGTGATTCAAATTAAAAAAATAAATAGTTGGCAAATGTATATGAGAAATATTTTTTCTCAACCCAGTCAAAAATTATCAATAGTCTATTGATTTGGGTGCTTAAAATAAGCAGCAACCCTAATTCGATCCAACAAATAGAGAATATTGTTCAGATAAGGAACTTTTCTATCTTTATATTTACCAAAATTATATCTGTATACCCCAGAACTGAACAAAATTTTTTTGTTTTGACCCATATTTACCTAAAATACATTTTGCACTGGCAAGCTAAAAGGAAATTATCTTCTTTTTACACCAGAGTTGTCTCAGAAAGAGGCAGCATAGGTGATTGGAGCCATGTATGGAGTGCAGAGGACTTGGCTTGTAGGCTACCAGATGTCCAGGCACACAGTCATTGTCCCAAGCCCTGCAGCTCCTGCTCCTATTCCTTGAATTGTTCATGTCTTTTAATTATGGAGTCAGGATACGTAAGCTGTGTATGAACAACAGAAGCAAACTGGGCTTTTCATATTTCCAGTCAGCAGCCAGATGCAAATGGAATGGCAGGGAACAAGGGAAAACATGTTGCTGCATCACTGTTGGTGCAGCGGAGAGGCTGCTGTTGCATGCAAATTTCCTTGCAATTTTGCTGCAAATAGAGAACCTCTGAAATGAAATGCTGCCTTAAATAGCAAGCTAGCTGTGTGGCTTATCTCAGCAAGATCTTTTTGGAGCAGTTAGATCAGTGAATTGAGGAGGATGGCTGGCAATAAACACTGCCCATTTGGGCTGCTACATGCAAATACATACCCTCATATACCAGAGAGGCTCTCATTTTGGGCATCCCACAAATATCCCATGTAACAAAGGGATCTTCGTGAAGCAGAAGGTGAAGAGTGAGTTAAAAGGCAGTTCACATGAGAAAGGAAAACTGTCAAAGACCAGGAAAGAAAAACAGGGTGTAGAGAAGAAAATGACATAGAAAAAGTCAACTGTAATGCTAACGATGTAGGAACATCTGAATTTTTCCCTTCTTGTTGACACTAGGTTTTAGTTACATGTTGTCTTTTCTCACATTCTCCTCTGTCTACAGTTTATTTAGCAACCACACAGAGTAGTCCTGCTGTAAACCAACTCCTCAGATGTGCTTTGTGTGTTGGGAAGTGTATTTCAGAAGGTGCATGGTATTCACTTCCAGGAGCTATCTCAATCTTCTCTGTATTATTCAAGTTTTAGTGCACAGGCTGCCAAAGCACATACATTATTGAAAAGATACTCTCACCAGTACTGACAATACAGGTCTTCGAAAAAAGTCATGCTATTCTACATCTTTGCTCACATTCAGAAGCTAAAGCAGAAATGAAATGATGCATAAATCCAAGGCAAAAGATCAGTATGGGGTCAACCTGGATGAATCCTTGCTTATACATTCAGCAATACATAGCATATGTCTCTCTATATGCTTATGTGTATGTTTGAGCATCTAAATATATATATTTAAAAGATGTATCAATACAGTATGCTTGTGCATATGTTTGTGTGTATGTCTTATGTGTGTGTAAAAATAGTGAGACACAAATTGTGCAGTAGACAGATACAGAGCAAATTACTACTATGGCAGCCCCAAAATGCAGGCAATTAGAAAACAGCTTTGTTTTTCTTATTTTAATCTTAAATATAAACACATTTTCAGATGAGGCAACAAGCAGCAATCTGTCCTCTAAGTTGATCATGCTAGAGAAGGTTGATGTGGCATAGAAGAAATGATGCAAATGCGAAGGAAATTGTGAAATTTGTTCTTCTAGATTTTTCAAATTCCGGGTATAAACTGAATTGATATCACAGTAGGAGATGATTACCTCGTGACAAATGGTTTGCTGCACTGCCAGCATTTCTGTAGCTGAGCTTTACTGGGCAATCTTCATCACAGTTTGCAGGTATAGTGGTTCTGTGGAAACTTTTTCTTTGTATTGTGACAAATAAGCAAGAGTACTAACTGCTTAGTTTCAAATATTAAAAAAACCAAATAATAGGTCAAGGAATAATGGAGGTAAGGAATAGACATCTAAACTGGAAATAGGAGTGTCTGATCTGGCTGCTAACCCAGTGATCACATCTGCTGTGGTTTGGAAATTTGTCTGCAAGCATCTTACTAATATTTGCATTGATAAAAGGAGAGTCATCGAAGATGTGACCTTCCAAATTTGCCTTGTTACACATCCTTTCTTGAACATAGTGCTGTACCTGGAACTCCAGAACTTACAGAAAATTATAATTGAAGGCCGACAAAACACAGTAAAATGCAGATTGTTCCCGGCATGCGCTGTGCATTTTGTTACAGACCTCCAAGAGCTGAGACCTTCACCTCAGGGAAGGTACATTACTAGGGTCCTGTACAAACCAAAGGTCCTGTATAATGCTGCAGAGGACCTGTAATTTGCTGCATCCCTCATAAAATGATCCAGCTCTGCATCTGCCAGGTTCTGTAGCCAGCAAAGAGAAATGTCATGACACCAGTTATTTTCTCTGTTATGGACATTTTGGTTTTTGATGGAGATCTCAGTGAAGCAGCTGTCTTCTTTTTTTGTCACTACAGAAGTGAGTCTGATGTATGTAAGAGAGAAGAAACATTCGTCCCTTTTCTCTTTGTGCAGCTACTATTAATAAACTGTAAAACTGAACCCATAAACACAAAGTTCCTATAACCTCAAACCTGAGTTTATCCAGTATTCCCAGCTCAACTACCTAGATGACTACTGCAACTAAAAGCTGAAAAACAATGAATTAAACTTAAACTTGATAGCAAAATTTTTAATTTCTTTCTTAACTCAGTATTCTTAAACTTTGTCTTCTGCTAAAAAGAAGACACAGCCTTACCATTGCTATAATTGTAGCAGAAAATTATAATTAAAATTTGCTCCACTTTATATTTGCCACATTTTCATAACGTTAAATTATAAAGAGGAAAGCCAAAACCCAAGCAGAAAGCTATAGAAATATAGTTAACTTCAAATTTGTCATGAAGTCAAGTATCACACATAAAGTAGCCTATCCCTCAAACATTTCATAGATGGCAATCTAAATTAGAGCATGGAGAGACTTCCAAATGAACAGCATGACCAATTAGATCTGAGAATACTATGAACCTGACGCTAGTCCCTGTAATCACGGGAAGGAAAAAAAAAAAAAAAAAAAAAAAAGAAGAAAATATTGACTTCAAAACAGACCTGCAATGCAGATCAAAGTGAAAGGCTGCCTAGACTAGTTTTTTGTGAATGGGACTCACTTCTTGCCTGCTAGTGATCTTTAATATGAAAAGCTCCAATACTTTTCTGGGAATTTTAATTGCTTAAATTACTCTACTGTATATCATTAGAATAAATATAATAATTTGGAATATCTCCCCATTCTCAGATTTCCATTGTTTATTTTTCTAAGTCATATATGCTTGGTAAGTCACATGTGCTTTTTTGTCAGCTATGTGTAGTGTCTAGTACTAACAAGAAAAGTTTTCATGAAAATGATATAGAGTTAATGTGCATGCATTGCTTCCACAGTCCTCACTTACAAAGACATGTTAATGCTCTGCTTGAATAAATGAAATTGTTCACATGAACATATACTGCAGTATTTGACTTCACACCAACTCTCAAATTTTCTTAACATATTTCTTTAATGGGGGAAAAATTCTTAACATTTGCATTGTAAGTTAGAGAGCAATTAATTACATATTGGTTCCTGAACTGTGAATGCACAGATCAGTTTGTGAAGATCTATGAGTTTAGGGTTAAAAATCTGTCATTTAAATTATTTGACTTCCAAGTCAAACCCAAGTTTGACATCTAAGTGAGTGTGTTATAAATTTGGAAGGGACTTCTCATCTAAATAGAAATGCAAAGCTATTCTATTTTAACAGTAATCCTTCCTTCCTTCCTTCCTTCCTTCCTTCCTTCCTTCCTTCCTTCCTTCCTTCCTTCCTTCCTTCCTTCCTTCCTCCATCCCTCCCTCTCTTTTTTTTCCTTCTTTCTTTCCCTTTCTTTCCTTCTTTCTCTTTCTTTTTTTTTTCTTTTTTCTTTTTCTCTTTTTCTTTCTTTCTCTTTCTCTCTTTCTTCTCTTTCTCTTCCTTCCTTGTGTCCTTCCTTCCTTCCTTTACCACTGCTAAAGCTTTGCGAATTTACACTTTTTGTAAATACTCACTTTATCACATTTTCTTGATTCTGTTAATTGAAAGGGAATGTAATACTTTTTGAGGATTTAAATGTTTTGGAATATTGTACATATCTTAGAAGTGTCTCAAGAAGTTATGTCATCTGAAGAGTCTGAAAATTGTAAAGGAAATTTAAAATTGTCACAAATGTATATGTATGGAGCATATGTATGTGTTCTTTGCCATGTCAATAAAATGTCAGTAAAGAGGAGTATTTCTATATTCTGTCCATCATTATTACTGTATTTCATCTTCACAGAACAAAATATGCCTTTTCTTCATCAACAAACAGGCAGTTTCAAATTATGAAAATTACAGCATTCCATTTTTAGACACATTGTTCCAGTCCCCACCACAAAGAATTTTATTTAGTTGTGTGATCACCTGTTCAAAGTCTATAGGAGTGGAAATATTGATTTCACTCAAGAAATACACCGCTTTAACAGAATCTTTCCAGCAATTGTGCTTTTCAAGAATGATTGTGTTCAGCTTAGTTCTCTGACTAGTCATCAGAGAGACTTCTTGCTTTGGCACAGAACATGTTAAAGTTGTAACCACGTGTACTTGAGTTGGGTTTTCTGTAATAGTTCATACACTGTCTTCATTCTTCAAGGCATTCTACACTTAGAAAATCAGCATAGTGTAATCATCTTGACTTTTGTTGTTTTTTTACTTCCTTCTGTACATGAGTCCTTTCTATACAGAGGAAGGTAAATAATAGAGCCAGTGCCTAGATTCAAGATTATTCTTATTCTGTATAAGATGTCCCCACAGAAGTGTAACTATACTATAAACTTGTAATATTCACACATGCACTTTTGCAGTCATGTGTTACCCACAATACAGAGTTGTAAGCAGAAAATGTGTGTGTTTATGTGTCAAAGAAAATTCCTGCTATGCTCAGTGACCTGTTTGTGGCTTTAAATGTCCGTATCTTGTGTGGCTTTACATTGGACAATTTTGCTCAGTACATATTTCTCTCTCCCCTCATTTTCTGTAAAGTCTGTTTCACCGTTCCCCTAGCTTTTCCACAGAGATACATAGACCTACTTCCTTCTCAATTGATGCATTTCATTTGGATATACAGAGTGTGACATATTATACAATGTGTCATACTGGATGTTTTTATAATCCTCCTGATATATAAATTATTCCTATAAATATTTTGGTTTATAGTTGAAATCACTGGGGTCAGGATTTCACCATAACAGTATAATAATTTGCTTTAGGAATGCAAATTATTGTTACTTCACCAAGTCTCTACCTGTGTAATAGAAGTATTTTTGTGGTTTTTAGTTTAAGCCTTCAGTAACAGCGGTGCTTCAAGTAGAATTAAAACATTTGTTTCATACTTTAATGACCAAATGTAATGTCTCCATGTGGCACCATAACTATTCTTAGGTAGAATTCCTTTTTAAGTGAAATATTGAAAAATACTGACTGAACAATAGTGAAAAATACTCCTCGATGTGCTTGCTTTGGGAGTTCCTTGTAGCTAAATCCTCTATACACAACCCCAGTACCTTACAGACACACACACGTGTGTGTGAACACCTCCAGATAACTGAGCTTAGAAATATAAAAAGTAAATACGAAGATCGATCTGTGCTAAGATAAATCGTTTTGAGTTACTAAAATATCTGATGTAGTCAGTGTTTGTCTTTTTTTTTTTTTTGAGAGAAAGCAAAATGCATAAATGATTGCAAGTGCTTATCATTCACTTTACGTTGATTGTCCACCTTCCTGTGGTAAGGCAATAAGGTTCAGTTACCAGCATCTAATCTGGTCTGAAGAAACTTTAAGTTCAGGGAAGCATTTTAAGGAACAGTGGGCCTAGATGTGGATGTATTGCACAGCAGCTTTCGGTAGTTTTATTTGATATATAGGGTTAAGAAGAGAATAAGATAATTTATAGAGGAATTGTGACACTCAGCAATACTACATTTCTAAGCTTTGAAGTGACACAGCTTGTACATTCAACATTTCAGGTTCCATCAAAGCCAAAAATCAGTTCTTGTATATGTAACTAGAAGAGGGGTAATTTTCATTTCTAAGTAGCTAAAGCATGTCTTTATATATACTGTATATATTATCATTTATGTTAGGTATAAAATCTACAAAAATTTATTAAGGCCTATGTCTGAATGTTGTGCATTTTGAAAATTCAAGAACAATTTTGAAGGGGGGCTGAAAAAATTCACCTTTCATTTCATGGAAACAGATTAAATAGATAATAATAGCTAAAAAAGCAGGTTAAGACTGTCAAGGATGAATGACAAATGCATTTGTCAAATTACTAAGCATACAAAGGGTCACAGTTTCCACATATATATTCGTTATAGACGTGTGTAGCTGCTTAAGTGTACCTACTAATTGCAAACACTGATACCAATCTGTTCTTGTTTTACAGGGCTTTCCTATATGCATATCAGAATGAAATAATCTTATAAAGATAAGATTAAATCTAATAAATTGAAAACAAATGGTTTAACTCTTTGAGAGACAGAAGACGAAAATATTTGTTCTTTAGAAACTGAAGAGAGGGTAGATATACAGTAGAACATTTGAAAATATTTCCAGGAGTGAAAGTACATTTTGTACATGAAACTATTGTTTTTCTGTTTTGCCTTTCAGATAGTCACATCCTTATTTTAATTAACTTGCTCATATAAATACAGCAGGATTGTTGTATTTTTTTAAATAACTCTTTACTGAATATGTCAACAAGATAATATATAGTGTATAGTGAGGTTTTGAAGTTAACAATGCGTGCAACATGGCAGATTGCAGAAAACAGATAATGCAGACTTCAAACCATCTATTTTTCCATGTTAAAGATAGAAAGTATACCAAACACATAACAGAATCAAGTGTGCATGTCTCAGTTAAAATCAATTTTATGAAAGATCACCTTCAAATATTTGGGCACAAGTGATGACAACAATTTTTTTAGTAGCTTATCTGCTTCTGAGACGATCAGAATTCAGCTCTCGTGAGGCACATTTCCACAGAGCCCCAGTATCACAGTCTGCCAAATCTCTTTTGTACTAGTTTTCCAGATGGACTACTAGCCAGCATCCTTTTAAAGAGCAAGACATTCTCTGCTGTACAAAAGTTTAATGCCAAATGTTTCAATATTGCCTGTAGTATCATCTGGGATACAAAGTGCCCTGTTCAGTAGAGTTCAGGGAAGGAGTGATCATCAGCTTCTTAGGATTATCTTTGTGTTTAAAAGAGAGCATCAGGCAGGATTTGTTGAGGCTCAGAGCCAGTAACTTTTGGTTTTGGCACTCATTTCTGTTTTGTTTTTCCACTGAGCTGGAAAGATAGGTTATGAGTAAAACCATTATTCTCATGTTCTAAAGAAAAAAACTTTAATATCTCCATGTTATAATTTAAGGTGAAAAGTACTATAAATGGAGAATTCAATGGGAATTAACCACTTCACTGTCAAAAGCTGAGACTGAAATTTCACTGCAATGTCATTAATAAAGTGCCTTATGTAGACCCTTAAAACCATAACAACAATACAATATGCATAAAGTTCTTTTGCTTGCAACATTAAAATTGATACATTTCTCAGAGGGAGAAATTTTCTCTCACAAAAAGAGAAAATGTGATTGAGAGAAAAATATAGTTGAACTACGCTAGTAGCAAATAGCATATGCTGCTTCATTTTTCTGTTTTACTTGACATCCATTTTAGTCCTTTATTGGCTTACAGGGAAAACTGCTAGTATCTGTTTGGTCCGAAGTAACCCAATCCCTAAATATTCTTATGAAGAAATTAAATAATAATGTCTCCAATAAGAACCTGTTAACACAAAGTCCATGCATTCATCAGGTGTTTGTTTCTGCCAGCAAGCTACATGCAAGGAACACCTGTTATAATGACAGAATCTGTGAAAATGGGGACTTGTTTGTACATAAATAGGTCTTCAGAAGGAATCCAAGCACTGGACACAGCAGTGTTGTCATAATTTCCCTTTAACATAATTTCATTTAAACTCTTATATTATTCCACTCACAAATCTTTCTCTGTACATTTATGTGAGCTATTAGCAGTATACAATGGAAGATGGATGAGATTTTGTCTGTAAACCACTCATTTGCCCCTAGGTCAAATGAACCTGTTCAAATCAGGACCTGGAAGTGAACATTTCGTATGAGTCATATATGCACACATTTGGGACTTTTGCTCTATAACATTTAGTTAGTATCTGTGGTCAGATATTTGTAGTAAGTGAAGATGACCCCCTTTTTACAAAGCCCAGGGAAAAAGCTACTAATCATAAACTTTACATTGCCAAAAGATCATTTTCCAATTTTAACTCTACTTTTTTCAAATACTTTACCCAGTGAAAATTGCTGGTTATGTACTTATCTAGGTGTGACTTGAAAAAAAGTCTCAGCTGTTTGCGTGACTGGCATTTGAAAAGTCCCAAACTCTGTTGTAGGTTGAAATACATTAACTCTTTTGCAGCTGGATAGCAATTAGAATTGGCAGAAACATTCTTCAAATGAAACATATGACCTTTCACTTGACTACAACTGTGAATTTGTTTAGGCAATGCTCCCAGCTCTATCCACAAATTTTGATATAAGTGGCTTGCTACTTTTTTTCAGAAGAGTATTTATAGAAAAGAAATTTTGTCAGAATCCTGTATAAATATATATATATTCTTCTTCATACTGAAAAGAAGCATAAACTATGCTATCTTTAATATGATTTTGATTTTTGATCTAGATAAGCGAGTAATAGTTCACAGACAGATATATACACATTTCATCATCCGAGATCAAAAGGAACAGTTTGTGAATGCCTTCTGCTTTCCCCCTATTAGGACAGTAACCACGTTTGTTGTCATCAGTTTGGACTTGTGGATCATTCACCTGCAGTACGGCTGAACTCCCTGAATAAGTCATTTCCTACAAATAAGGCGCCTAGCTCATCATGAAACTATGGTATCCTGAGGCCTAGAACAGAAGATGTTCATCAAGGACAAAGATTCCTCCAGCATCAGTCATTGAAGTACAAAATTCTAGTAAGCATGTACTTTCAAAGGATGCCTTTTGAAATCAAACATACAGCTAGTTAGTTCAGTGAAATTAAATACTACATCAACACCCAATGGGAATCTCTGGCTCTACTTAATTTCAAACAAACTCCAGCATGCAATGGAAGCGTGCAGAAGCACAACTACTTACTGCTTGTCTTGTGGGCTTTGGCACCTAAAACATATTAAACAAACAAAACAAAGGTATCAACCTTCTCATCATAATCTTCAGTAAATAGGTCACAGAAAAAAAACACTTTGCATAGACATTTCTACCTAGAATTACACCATTTGAAATCATATGGCAGCCTTTTATTCAGCAAAATTTCAGTGACTTTACTATTACAGTAGCCACACAGGTTGCCTAAAATACCTGTTATCGCTGGAGAAAATAGCAAATATACAGAATATAGAGTGGAATTTCAAAATGTGATTATAAAAGGTGTTGGGGGAAGGATCTGTTTCCTTATACAATGATTGTACTTTGCAATCAATCATAACTGGATTCATTTGTCATTGCAGAAAATGAGTGTTATCATGCAATTTGAATTTCAGAAACTGCATACTCATAGACTGCTGGGTTTCAAGAATGGGTTAAGTGAAATGAGCAAAGGAAAGGATTAAAACCCTCTCTCCCAACATAAGCAGCAGTGAAAAGTCCAAGCATTCCACAGTGAAAGTGCTTCAGCCTTTACTTCCAATCCGCTTCTAACAACTTCTCCTTGTCCCTAGTTGGTCACTGTAAGAAGTTTTCTCTTTGGTTCCCTACTCCTTCAGGAAATTTTGTCTCTCTCTTTTTTTTTTCTCTTTGTTGTGAATTTTTGCTTGTCCCCAAGCTTAGGAGAAAATGAGCTGCATTAAAAAACAAACAAACTGAAAGAAAGGAAGAATTAGATTCCACCACTGAGCTGGCAAGAAATCCAGAGTTCTTGACAATCACAAAGTCAATGGAATGGCTGGAACATTATATAATTTTGAGAGCAGCATCATGGTTTTAATACAAGCATGATATTTTGCATACTGCATGTAAAGCTCAAGGACTCACAAGGTATTCCAGCTAAAGAATTTGATGGAATAAAAAAGCAAATTCTAAGCCCACCTACTGCTTATAAAGCACAGATCACTGTGGAAAAATTCCAAAAGCTTAAGATAAAAGAATGGTAATTCAGAGGGACTTGTGTTCTCAGAATTCCTCAGCTAATCAAATGCTTAGTTAATGTCTGCTTCTGTATACTTGACTGGGAAGAAAAGGGGGGGCGGGGAAGGAAAAAAAAAAAAAAACCCAACCAGGATTTATACACAATTTTCCCTGCTAAACATATTTCAGTTCATATAGGCCTGGAGGCCTTTCCAATAATAATTTTTTTTTTTTTTAAGATCTTTCTTACTTGTTTTCCCTGTTTGTTTGTCTTATTTTTCCTACTTCTCCATACAGAATGTAACTCAGACCCCTAAATCAAACAGGACTTCAACCATAAAAGTCAATAGCAATCTTTCCATTGGCATCATATTTTGCATCCCATTTTTAGCAATATACACTCTTAGATTCCAAATTCTACATGAATACTGCAGAGCTGGGAGCACTCAGAATTTCCCTCATTCAGGTTTTACCTGAACATGCTGTGTCAACAAATGCTGCTCTATTAAAGAGAGGTGCAACTTAATGACAGCTATCTGTTACATACTGATAACCTTCATCTCCCACTGAGAAGGGTCAGAGAATGCCTAAAGCTTCTTAATCATAATGAAAAGCAAGAACAGTTTCTATCATAAAAGTATATAGTATTGGGGGACATTTTCAGAGTAGCGTTTGCAAATTGGAAGCAAGGTCACTTTGAGTTTGACACAGAGCTCTGTCTACCTTTCCTATTCCTAATATACTGGGAGAAAACTAATCAAATGAGTAGCCTTTTTGGTAGCACTCAGAACTCCAGCTTTCAGTTGGAGGTAGGAAATGCTGAACTGACAAAGGGGAACAGAAGTATTTCCAGTTGTTTGAAGCTCAACAGCAACTGTCGGATTCAAGTCAGAAGGTTTGCACCCATTTTATCTGAATTGCTTTTGTCCGTTCCTAGTGACCCTGTTTTAATATGCACTTATTTTCCTGTACTACAGGACACCTAGAAACTTAACATCCCTCAGACAGCTTCGACAGCAAAGTGGTTAATGTTTGAAGAATGAGTCATTCTTTCCTTTGCCATGACATTGGGTTCTTATTGTACAACCCTGTACAGTACTTAGCAATATTTTTAAAGATTTAAAAAGCAAAGAGTTACAAAACCATTTGCAATTAACTTGAAATAGAAAAGATAGCACTTTTTTTAAATCCCATTATATAGTACACCGTATAAATTACAGAGTATTCAAATGCATAAATGCATCTGTGTAACATTTATCAAATGTAATTTTTTCATTGTTGTTGGGGGGTTATTTTTTTCCAGAGTTTTTTCTCTTTGTCCTAGACACCCCCATGTCCCCTCACTATCACGTATGACAGTGCTCCAGGTCTGAGACATTGCTGTTGCAGTATCGCATGTTATTGGGGATATGGCAGTCTGTGTAGTTAATGCCCCCGTTTGGGGTATAAATGGGCTGCAGTCTGAAATCTCCTTTAAGGAGCTGATCATTATTTAAGGAGACAATCTGGAAGCTGGTTTCCGTCATCTCCAGGATGGAGTTGTCCTTCTTGGTCCCTGCCTCGCAGTAGTCGTCTTTCCGACGGCCCCGGTTGTATTTCCACTTCTGGGAGGTGTAACGCCCTTTTTTGTGCATATGCCAGCAAAAAATACTGAGCAGGACCACGAGGACAAATATCACTGCACCCCCAATCAACCCTGCCAGCAGAAATGGGGAGCCCAGGTTCTGAGAAGTCGTCTGCTCATGGCTGGAGGGGATGTTGCTGCCATTGCTCAAAAAGGAAGCCTTGGTTGTGGCTTCTGAACAGACAGTGTCTTCTCCAGTTCGATAATTGTTGTAAGTATCCAGTGGAACCAAACAAATCCGATAGGTGGATTTGGGCTCCAGATTTACCAAGCTTAAGTGTTGCTTCTCACCACTAACTATTCGTTCCTGAACAATTCCTCCTACCAGACTATGGCCCATTTTAACCCATGTGAGTTTATATGCCATCACGGTAAAGAGAGACATCCAGTTAACTTGGATGCAAGTGTCATTCACAAAATGGATGGAGAGCTGAATCCGTTCGGATATAGGAGGTGTCACTCTTTCTCCGTCCTCCCTGTCAGGCACAGTGGGGAGTGTGGCTATGGTGGGAGTGAGAGGATTGTATTTGCTACTTGGGGGAGGAACTGATGAGGTGGGAACTAATGTAGTTGGCATGGCTGTAGCTGGGACTGGGGTGATGATGTGTGGCAGACCAGGGGTGGTGGTGGGACACGACAACATATTCATGTTGAGCTCCCTGACTGCCATACCCCGGACCTGCTCTGGTCCCTGGCACATAAAACCCCGTACATTGATGGAAGTTGGAATAAATTTGAGCCATTCAGTGACCCACTTAATACTGCAGTCACACAACCAGGGATTATTCCTTACAGTGAGTTGCCTCAGGTTGTGGAGATTATCAAACACCCCCTTTACCAACATCCGAAGTTGATTGTTGGAAATATCAAGACGTTCCAGCTTGTGGAGGTTTGAAAAGGCTGTAAGTGGTATATGGGTTATCTGGTTGTCCTGCAAGTAGAGCCTTAGCAGATGTGTACCTGGAAGATCAGGAGGAGGGTAGGTCAGTGAATTCCGCACTATTGAGAATTCCTTGAGCTTGGAGAGGTGGCTGAAAGTGCCTTCAGCTATGCCTTTATTAGTAAGGAGATTGCCATCCAAAATCAGACGCTCCAGACTTGTAAGGTTCTGGAAGGCCAGGTCTGAAATGACAGCAATTCGGTTTTCGTCTACTCGAAGTTCTTGTAAGTCCACTGGAAGGCCTACTGGTACGCTGCTTAAGTGATTCTTGGACAAGAACAGAAGCTTGAGGCTGATGGCTTCCCGGAATGCCCCATCCTCAACGCCAACAGTGGAGATGGAGTTATCATCCAGATGCAGCTCTTCCAGCTTTAAAAGCTGAGCAAGGGCAGCCCGAGAAATGGTCTGAATGTTGTTTTCCTGCAGGTGAAGAACCCTGACGTTCTTGGGTAGGTTCATGGGGAATTCATCCAATTGATTGCCATACAGGTAGACTGTGTGCACAGACTGGACATTGTGCAACTCTGCAGGAAATCCAGCATTATTAATTTGGTTATTATGGAGGTAGAGGACGGTTACACCCTCCGGTATCCCAAGAGGCACTGAGGTCAAGCTTCGCTCATTACAGTAGACAAAGTTCCGGTCACAGCGGCACACTTTTGGGCAGGCGAAAGTTTTGGACACCTGCATGTAGACCCCCAGGGAAAAGATAAGCCATGATTTCATGAGAACGGCCCAATCTGTGGGCCACATTCTAGTCCACGAACCCATTTCTAATTTAAAGAAATAAAGTACCAAAATGTTAAAGAACTAATAACAATAATAAAGCACAGGTAGCAAAATCTCTGGTCATTAAAATTGACTTCTATTAATGTCCAGTACTCAGGCCAGTGTCAAAGTCCTGGAGGCTTAGTATAAAATAATCCTTTTATAATTGGCCTACCTCCTACTTTTGACAAGAAAGCCACAGTCTTATTAGCCAGGATTACAAAGTTTGTTGCCTTCCTCCATGTGTGCTGAAAGAAAGAATAGCTGTGTCTTTGCAGGTCAGCAACAGGTTAGTTTAAAGCTACCAAAAGTTGTCTGTGTATGAGTTGCTTCGAGGGATAATATTTCCTTTCTCTGAAGTCTTTTGGTGTTACACTCAGCTTTCTGAAGTCAGCAAAGTCCTCATACCAGCTATCTGCCGGATCTGGCCTGCCTGTAAAAGAAAAAAAAGAAAATAGCATGTAATGTTTCAAAGGGAAGATCAAGCTCATTAGAAGACTATTCTAAGGCTGTGCTCTTTATGGTTTTCTGGGAAAAAAAATCCATTAATATTAATCATTGTTTAATATTACTGTTAAATAGTCTTGAAATAGATTTGATGCAAAGTCATTGCAGTGACTGAAGGACTTCAGTGAAGGCTAGATCTATCACTTGTGTTTGTGTATTGTACCTCCAGTCTTTGTCCTCTCACAGTCTGTTTCAAATACTAAAACTAAAACATTTTTCAAGCCTAAAACTAAACCATACAACTGGAGATTTTTCTCAGATATATTTTTTTCCTTTTGCACAATCACTGACTTCAATGAATGCTATTCACTGATGCCTGACAGCAGACTCTAGGATGTATTACTTAATCACACTTTTTTTTAAATTTCCTACCAGACTCTGGAATGTTCTGCTTCTATTTCTGTAATGTCATTATGTATATTCTCCAGCTTAATGCACACTGCCAAATTATTGCACCTCCCTCCACAGTGAATTAGCTACTTATGAGGACAGTCTTTTAAATAAGTATGGGAAGCCACAAATACAAGATACCCTGCTGTAAGGCATATATTTGCTAAAACTATCATCTTGATATTGTTTCTGATGTGAACTGTGCTGTCAACAGACTTGAGAATTAGCTTTCTACTAAATGAAACAGGCTCACATCTGCTAAGTTATTATTTTAGGATATCAGCTCAAACTACAGCAGTTTTGTGAGCAGTTCTGGAGAGCACTTTCTTTGAAACCATAAAGGTTAGATAATTCTTTAATTCTGCTGCACAGTTGTCTGTGAATGGCTGTAGAAACAATTTGCTAGCTTTAGTATAGATGAGTTCTTTAATGCATATTTTCAGCTTTAAAGTGTACTTTTTAACTTTTTCCTTCCCAGCTATTATTTATTATTCAGATGTATAACAAAACAATCCAACTGTCTAAAGCATACAACGAAAGACACTACTGTATTATATGACGTTATCTTGTCTTGTTATATGTTGTTTCCAATGACTGAAAAAAATGCTGCATTTTACAAACTTGAATCTAATGAAGAATATAAACTTTGACAAGTACCAAGCATGTGTAGATCTCAGATCTTGAATTGCAGTCACATAAGCACAGTATTTTTCCAGATTTTCATTTTAGGTTGGAAGGGACCTTTAAAGGTCATCTAGTCAAACCTCTCCTGCAGTAAGCAGGGACCTATTCAACTAGATCAGGTTGCTTAGAGCCCTGTCCAACCTGACCTTGAATGTTTCCAGGGATGGGGCCTCTACCACTTCTCTGGGCAACCTGTTCCAGTGTTTCACCTCCCTCATTATCTAGTCTAAATCTACCCTCTTTTAGTTTAAAACCATTACCCCTTGTCCTGTGGCAACAGGTCCTGCTAAAAAGTTTGTCCTCATCTTTCCTGTAGGCTCTCTTTAAGTTGTGGAAGGCTGCTATAAGGTCTCCCTGGAGCCTTCTCTTCTCCAGGCTGAACAATCCCAACTCTCTCAGTCTGTCCTCATAGCAGAGGTGCTACAGCCCTCTGATTGTTTTTGAGACCCTCCTCTAGACACATTCCAACAGGTCCATGTCTTTCCTGTTCTGAGGGCTCCAAAACTGGATGAAGCACTCCAGATGGGGTCTCACCAGAGCAGAGTAGAGGGGCAGAATCACCTCCCTCAACCTGCTGGCCATGCTTCTTTTGATGCAGCCCAGGATGTGGTTGGCTTTCTATGTTGCCAGCACACATTTCTGGCTCATGTCCAGTTTCATCCACCAGTACCGCCAAGTTCTTCTCCTCAGGACTGCTGAGAATCCCTTCATCCCCCAGCCTGTATTGATACTGGGGGTACATTTTGCTGACCCAGATGAAAACTTATAGGCTGGGATTTCAGGAAAACAGAATTTCAGTGAACAGAAATAATGTTTAAAAGTCTTTTCCCCCATTATTTAAGCAGTATAAGCACCACCCAGGTAATTCAAAGAGAAATGTAATTCAGGAGTACATGAAAGCTTGTTCTTCTGCTACAGCTGTGCAGTTTATAACATGTCCCAAATGCTGCTTTTGGGAACCCCATGGACTGACAGTGTAGAAAGTCTCTTTAGGAGTCAGACTGTTATAACCCTGCAACCTTGCACTTGTAGATTACTATATTTATTTGGAGCATCATCAGGTATCAGCCTCTAGGCTAGAGCAGTTGGAGGTAAAAAATGAGACCCTGAAAAGTCCTGTAGCTTATCATTATGAATTCAAATGGTAAATGTACGTATATTTTTATGCAGCCTATACTGTGTGTTGTCCTTTTCTAGAAACAGTAAGATTAGCTACCCCACTGTTCAAGTTTTCTCTCTTGCAGGCATATTTCAGTCAAGAGTGGTTTCTTTTCAATTATGTAAGATGACGTGATACTGTAGAGAAACTCTAACAGGATTACATTCTAACATGAGCCTAAGTGTGACAGTTTATCCGCCTTTAATATGGCCTGGCTCCCATCTAGATCATACTGCTCTGATCCGTCATGACACTGTCTTTTTAAAATAAAGAAAGGATGTGCAGAGCCTCCTCTGAGATGCTTGAGACCACACAGAGTAATAATAGTGGTTCTCTCACTCCCTTTCCATCATCAGAGCGAGACAGTCTGTACCTCTTAACAGGGGCAAAACCCTTCACTGAGCTCGCTTTCAATTGTAAGTCTGATTGCTGATTAGGTTTTATTTGACTCCCGGGTATGGTAGGAAGCCCAGCTGAGGACGTGCAGCCACAGGCAGCTGCAGCTCCTGATTTGCTGGGAATCTCCTAAGGAAAGAATGTCATATTAAAAATGATTTATGCATTCACCTTATTCTAGGACTCTGCCCAGAGTACCTCTCACCTAGGTAAATGTGGCACCTGAATAAAAGATTTCAGTAATGATTCTAGCAAATTGGGTCAAACACACAGCACTTATCATTAGATACTACAAGTATAAGAGTTTTGACTGGACAGTCACTTATGTATATCAGCACTTTGGAAGCTGGCAGTCTGGAGTTTATTTCCTTTTCACTGTTACATGGATTTTGCCCTTAGAAATCTGTTAAAATTTTCCTATTGTTTTCTTCCTTTATGATAGTGAGAAAGGGAGTCCTTTTGTTAATGCCAGTACCATAATCTCCGGCTATCAGTCCTTAATAAACTGATACTACAAAACTCAATACAGAAAATATGCTTTGGTAACTACTGTTGACTGTATTAAGCAAGAGCACAAGGACAAATCTGATCGGATATTTATGACTTCAGGGTTGACTGTGGTGTGGCAGAGGGAAGGAATGAGGAAGCAAGGATACAGCTTAATGTGCTTAAACATTTTTTTGGGGAAAAGCTTTACTTCAGTAGGCTTTTACAACTGTTTAATAATAATTCATACTTGGAGTATTTTTCAGCAAATCTCAGGGACCCTAATGCAAAAGTGAGTTTTTTCCCTGTGTTAGAAATCTCTACCCTAAAGACATTAAATAGATTGAAGAGCTGAACAACCTGCTTGATATAAAAAAGAAACTCTTTGAAAGAAAAACATCCTCGACAAATTGCAGAAGGCTGGAAAAGCTGAAACAGTTTGTTCTTTAGCTAATTGCCAAAACTGAAGGCAGGTAGAGCAATTGAGCTTTCTCCCCATCCCTTATATGCCGGCTTCCTAAAGCAAGTTTTCTGTTTTCAATATTCTTACAAGATCTGAACTGAGTTTCTCTGCAAAGGAACTGATCATTTGCAGAAGGAGAATTTTGGAAGTGGAGGAATCAAGGGCACTCAATATCCTTAGCTTTCATGACTTTAAATCTTGGGAATTGACTCATAAACTATAGATGGCAGTGACCTTTCTTATTGTGAAGCTGGAAAATTCTAAAAACCAATCTAGGAAGAGAGAATGAGGGTAAGGGAATCTGTCGTGGTTAACTTTAAAGAAATCAACAAGCAAATACCTCAATAATAACACATTTCCCCATCATCACTTTGGTAATTTTTGTTTCTATTTCCTTACTCTGTGCACTTGATTTCTATTATTTCTCACTATATCCTCCTTGGAGCACAAGCCACGTCTTCCAAGTGTCTAGGAGATTTCCTGTCTTACTGCAGCCAGGATATTAAATCCCATTAGGATTTAAGGAATGATATAATAAAGTTGAAAAAATCACATTGAAATAGATGAGAACATATGCACACTTTTTAGGTGGCCATGTCTGAAAATTTGGCTTAGTGGTCTGAGTTCTTATCATCAATGGAAGTGTTCCCTTTCATATCTTAAGAGGAGTTTTGAACAATGTTTTTATCTCACTGTCTTTTTTGACACTGACTTATTTAAATTCTCTTTTGGCATGACTAATGCTAGCTGGAGAACAATTCTGGCTTTGTGTACTGAATAAAAATTTCGAATTTGCTTTTGTTCAACCTTGCAACTGAACAGCACCTTTAAGATATTTTATTAAAGGTATTTACAGGCTGAAACATCTGGCTGCAAGTTGAGAAGGTGAAGGTTTTATTAGCCTTCCCTTCACTGGTCAGAAGCATCCACAGAACTTCAAGCTTCAGTCACCCTGCTGTGCATAGCTATGAAATAATTTAGCTTCAATAAACACACATGTTTCAATAATTAATATATTACTAAAATGCTACTTAATCATAAATGTGTGGTATCTAGTTAAAAAAGCCCAATAACCCACTACAAGCCTGCTTATGAAACTCTTTCCTACCTTACTGACCAGTATTGCCTCAGTGGCTATGCTTATGGTGCTCAAGAAGCTCCAAAGCTGCCCTCAGGGCCATCCTCCCCGCCTTTCATGCTGCAGTCTTCCAAACATGCAGTACCAGGCACAGCAGTCAAGGTTCCTGTGGCTGCCTGAAAACCTATTAATGTTCAGGGGAGATAAGAGAGACGCAAGGGAGGAGATAGCATATGGAGCACAGACGGCATGTGAATACTTCCAGCCCTA